CCCATCTGTTTCACAATATGCCACACACGGAGACACAAAAGAGGAACGCTGCGCCTAAAAAGAAGAGGTAAAGATACGAGCACACGTACAGTCGTTTGGTTTCTTTTACTGAGATATCAAACTGCAAAAAAAAAAAAATTCAAGTAGAATGTTTATTTATTCGAAATAAGATACACGTGCGTCAAACTCAGGCCCGGGGGCTAAATCTGGCCCGCTGTGTAATTATATTTGGCCCACGAGATCATATCAAATGTGTACTAGAGTTCACTGCAGTATATAGCCCCTATATACAGGCAGGATTTGTAGTATTGGCGATGTTACGCTATGTTAGCACATACATTTGTTGTTGTTGTTGTTGTTGGGCTGTGAAAAAAAGACATTAAAAAGGGACTTGGAAGGCTACAGATACAGAGAGCAGGTTTGCAGATTTTATTGGATCACATGATGAGGTCATTTACAGGACTCACATCCATTTAGAAAAAAATAGAAAATAAATTTAGAAAAATATTTGTCCTTGCATTACAAGCTGCAACAATGACAGGAAACGCAGCGTGGAAATGAAAAGTGCGTCTCCAGGACACCGAGACGAGGGCTCCAGCACATGTGCTTGGTCCAGATGCCAGCTCAACTTGCATTAGTGGCATCCATGTGTTGTTGTTGTTCCAGACACAGAGGCCTTATCTCCAGTTACACTCCTGGATTTAGAAAAAAAAAAAAACCCCGAGCTCAAACATTTGTACGGTTGCGCATGTATGTGTGTATATCGCCGGCTCAGAGTCGTCTCTGCGGGGCTCGCTTACTTTTCTGGACAGAAAGAACAAGTTGCATGCTGTTTTACAAGAAGGCAGATAAATCTGACAGGGGTGTCAAGTAGCAGGCATCGCAGCGGCCAAAAGCGGACCACTGCTAGCTGGCCAGATTCTTGTAGCGTTGGATGGCTGAAAACGCCACACAATTAGACAATAACACGCACACTTGGCTCGGCAACAGCGGCCAGTAACAGTGGGCCCCTTGGCTGCAGTGGAGTGGCTCAGATTCTCCTCCTGGACGAAATGTTGTTTTTTAATTAGTTGTGAAAGTGAGAATGTCTGCTTTTCTCATGAGTGGAAGAAAAATCTTCCCTGCAGATGTTTGTGGCATTGTGAAACAGGTTTAAACTGGCTCCTTCTATCAAACACTGTTTTCGCCGTCCTTGTCAAAACATTTAGGGAATACAGTGACAGTTCAGAAGAAAATCCGAAAAAAAAAATAAATAAATAAAACCGTACACCCTGGTCGACTTCGGAAGTCCAGAACAAATCTGAAAAGAATACTTGTTTGGTTCTATTGTTTGTTTTTTTCACCACCTCCTCCCTAAATCACTGCAGACCTCTGCTGTGGCGACGCTGGTAAAGGGACGATCTGAAAATATTTTTTTTCTTTATTATTGTGTTTATATTTATAATATTTGTTCTTTCAGAAAAAGTGCCACAAAAATCCTGTATATATCCCAAATAACTGGAAATATTTTTTGCCACTACTTAAAATGCAGATATGGTCCAAGCACTTAATTTACAAATTTAACTTTTTTTGAAAGCTCTGTGGGACAATGACAGTAATTTACTTTCACTTTCACTTTCAAAACTATTTTTAGGTCACATCATCTGGTGAAACCCAACCATTGCGTTATTGGATTTTCATTGTCGGAGGAAAAACCGATACCAATTCTTACCGATTATTACATGATTATGCTAATATCTGCCGATACAAATAATAAAAGAGTTACTTTCCAGGAAAATGTACCATTATGATTTTTTTTTAAATATTATTCTATGACTGTTAACCACTAACCCAGACTGCACTGTGCTTTTGTGTTTAATGCCTGTTGTAGTTGTCAGTGACAGCCTCCTCCTATTGTCGCCCAAATGTAACCAGTACAGCTTCCCCGACCCTAATAGTTTTTACACTCCATGCAAACACACACACAAAAGTGGTCTCTCCAGAGGCAGAGCGGCTGTAAGGAAGGATTTACAGCGGCGGCCTGTCCTCCCAGCAGTGGGCTGATTGGAGGGGCAGGCGGTGTTTGTTAAGGTAATGGGCCGAGTCCCCCGCACTGGAAAAGGGGACTGGCCGGCAGGGGTGATAGGGGTGGTGGTGGGGGAGGGACGGGGAGGGAGGGGCCGGCGGGGGAGAGGTTTCTGAGCTCTCCAGCTCTGTCCACGATTCCACGCTCAGCCTCGCTGTGGCCACTCCAGCCCCACCTGAAAGTGATTACCAGGACAGCCGTGAGCAAACAAGCCCCATATGGAGAGACTATAGTGGTGCTGAGGCTGGAGCTTGAGCTGCCCTCCTCCAGCCCTTTGGAGAGAAGAGGCCTGAGCAAACACAGCTAATGAAGTCTTAACAAGCAGCCATGGGTTAGCGCAAGCCCACTAAATGCCACCGATGGCTCTTGGAATTGTGTCGAGCAGATTGGATAAATCTCCTCAAAGCTTTTCTCCACCAGATAAAGTCGCATTAGCATATCGCCGTCGCGCTATCGCACGGCCGGGTCCCGGATCTGGACACACTTGATTGGACGTCTTTTCATTAGCTGGAGCACTTGATGATGTTTGACAGAATGACACTCTGAATTGAACATGTTAACTTTTAGGGCGTAATTGCTGCTTTTCATTCATTGGTCGGCCTCTGTTGCCGTCTCGTACGTCGCAGCCCTGCATCGCAAACAACACATTTTCCTCCATGTCAATCATTACCTTTCTTGACCTCATCCATGCTTGATGTCTCCCCTGTTTTTTTTTTCAAACTGGTCTCCAAAATGAGACACACCAGGAAGCACATACCTCTACAGCACCCACTCTGGCCAAACTCTGTTTCCTAATCAAACGCAAACAGCCATTAACTCGGCTCCATCCCTGTTATCTATCTAAGGCGAGTCACTTAATCATTCTGTGCTAAGCAGACACTTAGCTCACCGCGGGTTTGTTCCACTCATAGGAACACAACTGTCTGGTGTGATTAAGAGGTGGCTGCACTCAGACAGCAAACTCTACCTCGGGGCGGAGGATGCTTGCACTTCAGGGCCACATATTTTTCCACAGCGTCCGGCCTGTGTTGGCGTGTGCGCGTGCACACACAGGAGAGGACAAACTGCCTATTCAAAGACACATCCCCCTTGTTGTTGCAACGAATATCGAGTTTCCAACAGATGTGCTGATCACATGTCCGGCCCTGCTCGCCTGTTCATACCAGGAGCTGCGTTCAGTTAATTTTCTGAGTGGCCTGTGATTAAATCTTACGGCAGTCGTCACGGCGGTCCGAGTGACGTTGAAGTAAATGACTTGTTTTGTTGTTGTCTGAAAGAGGGACGGAAAATAGAGTGTGGTAATGTGGATGAGAAATGCACGCGTCACATTTATAAAGCATTTAGACCCCGGGGTCTCAGACACGGATGAGGACCCGTCATTACACTAGAGGGCAGAATACGTGTTTGATATCCAATACAGCGAGTATCTTTGTTTGAGTACTGTACTGTACAACACTATAGTGCAAACAATCATACATTTTCATTTTTTTCTTAAATAATCAATGTACAAACACAGGCCAGAGATGAGGGCTTTGTGGGCCAAAAGTGGCCCGTGAGCCAGGGGTTTGAGACGACTGATTTGGACAATGTACAAATATTTGAAAATATGAACAATTCCAGAACCGCACACTACATTTTAATAGTTCAATTCTTATTAAAATATCTTGGGTTTAAGGTTCGAAAATAGAATACCCAGACATTTGAAAATATGCTGAAATAATGCTGCAGTCGCATCCTGTCATGCAGAGATGGTTTACTTTTATATTGATTTGTTGTTTATTTGTTAACAACAAGGACCTTCGGTGTATTTTCCCTGCAGTTCTGCATCATTCGTGTTGTACTATTTATTTGCATCTATTAGATAAACCAACAACTGGGGTCTGCGACACGCACTCGTCGCTGATTGGTCACTTGTGCAGCAGCTACGACAGAGTTTTGGATATGACTTTGTATGAATGGTTCCAGACCGCGGAGCTGCTACTGCAGGTCTGCTGTTGGGCTGGGCTGCCAGGGGAGTGGGCTCGGGCTCTCAGGCGGCCCCTGTGACAGGAGCGCCTCTGCCAGCACCTCAGTGTGCGGCTGCTTGCTCTTTGCCTCGCGCAATTACGCCTCCCGCGGAGCTCTATGCAAGCGTTAAACGAAACATTAGCACCTCATTTAAAAAATAAAAAAAGGGCTTTTCACGGGGACAGACAGCTCCCTGGGTTGTCTTATCATGCGCAAATTAGGCAATTTACCAAACTGGCCCCTCTCTCTTCTCTCACCAACACACGCAGGAACAATCATCCGACACTAAAGATGTTTTCCATCCTTTAACCGTGTGTTTCAACTGTGGTGTTGTGACACCGGGAAAGAATGCGAGTTACAAGACAGCCACAGGAAAGTGTGGTCACAGGTGGGAATGAAAAAAACCAGACCTCAATTTGGATTAAGAGGTAGTTTTTCATGTTAATGACATCACGTTTATTTAAAAAAGAATATTTTTACCGAATATCTTCTTCAAGTACAGACTTGAAAAATAACACATATATCTTCTTCAAGTACAGACTTGAAAAATAGCATATATATGTATGTATGTATGTTATTTTTGTCACGGATCACGGATGGATGATGCGTAAATCTGTGCGTAAATGCGCACTTTTCACTCCAAAATCTTTAAATACTCGTTTCAGCTCACAGTGTGGACCTGTGCTGTGTTTTCATCCCCATCTGAGGTTAAATGTGCATGAATATGACTCTATCACCACATCCTTCTTTTTTTCTTTTCTTTTTTTCTTTTCTTTTTTTTTTTTGGATGCGTAAAAGTCATTTGCTTCCAAATCAGCGTCTTAGCCTCACTTGCGCCACGGCCACGAGGCTAAGCCAATCTGCTCCAGAGCCTCAAAACAAAAACATTTAGGTAAAGATGGGGGAAGAAAAATGTGATCGACACGTCGGAGGCCCCGCCTCGGTACTCTGTGATTAGAGCAGCGGCTCTGGGGGTGTGGTATTTGAGCCTCCGCTATATATTAGCACTGCTTGGTCTCCAGGCTTATGATTTGTATGTCAAGCCAAGCAATCGTGGGGTGAAAACCCACTGGAAATAACCATAATATCAGTGAAAGAGAGCGAACGTGTGGCCTTTCCTCTCAGTGACGACAGAACAGCAGCACTTTTTTTTTTTAATTTGATTTGATTATTTTTGCTATTTTACCAGCAGTCTGTGTGTGGATATTGAGGGACAGACTCCGGGAGAACGTGGATTCTTCCCCAGCCATCTTGCTGCTCCCGAAGGCTCCTTTCTCCTCCTTCTCCTCCTCCTGACGAAAGTAAACACGGCGTGCACATCACTCGCAACTCCGTGCGAGATCCCGACAGAAGCGACATGGGCTCCTTGCACAGAGTCTAACGGCGCTGGGGGCGAACGCAGGCGGCTGAGAGGATTAATTGCTGTTCGTGCCGTCGCAGACGAGGGGAGACGCGCCGCGCCGCGCCAGGGAGATGGAGCTGTTTGGGATTTACCTGCTCCTCTCGCTCGCTCTCCTGCCCCGATCCAGCTGCACCACGGCTAAGGAGATCACCTGCCAGGAGATAGCCGTGCCCCTGTGCAAGGGCATCGGCTACAACTACACTTACATGCCCAATCAGTTCAACCACGACACGCAGGACGAGGCGGGACTGGAGGTGCACCAGTTCTGGCCTCTGGTCGAGATCCAGTGTTCGCCGGACCTCAAGTTCTTCCTGTGCAGCATGTACACGCCGATCTGCTTGGAGGACTACAAAAAACCACTACCGCCGTGCCGGAGCGTGTGTGAGAGAGCCCGGGCCGGCTGCGCGCCCCTCATGCGGCAGTACGGCTTCCCCTGGCCGGACAGAATGAAGTGTGACCTGCTGCCCGTGCAGGGCAACCCCGACACTCTGTGTATGGACTATAATCGAACTGACTCGACCACAGTATCCCCTGTCCTCTCCAAGCCCACCAACCACCCGGGTAAGGGTTACAATCCGCCTAAAAATAAGCCCAGCGGCGGCAGACCCGGCGCGCCTGGGAAATACAAGCCGCCTGTTGCACCATGTGAGCCGGGCTGCCAGTGTTTGGAGCCCATGGTGCCAGTGACCACTGACCGTCATCCGCTTTACAACCGTGTGAAAACGGGGCAGATTCCTAACTGTGCCATGCCGTGCCACAACCCTTTCTTTACGCACGACGAGAAGGCGTTCACGGCGTTCTGGATAGGACTGTGGTCGGTGCTGTGCTTCGTGTCAACTTTTGCCACGGTCGCCACTTTCCTCATCGACATGGAGCGATTCAAGTACCCGGAGAGACCCATCATCTTCCTCTCCGCCTGCTACATGTTCGTTTCGGTGGGCTACATCGTCAGACTCATCGCCGGACACGAGAAAGTGGCGTGTAACCGGGACTTTGACGTGGAACACATCCACTACGAGACCACCGGACCTGCGCTCTGCACTGTGGTTTTCCTCCTGATTTACTTTTTTGGCATGGCCAGCTCCATCTGGTGGGTCATCCTCTCCCTGACCTGGTTCCTGGCGGCCGGGATGAAGTGGGGCAACGAGGCGATTGCCAGCTACTCTCAGTACTTCCACTTGGCCGCCTGGCTCATCCCCAGCATGAAGTCCATCGCGGTGCTGGCGCTGAGCTCCGTGGACGGAGATTCTGTGGCTGGCATCTGCTACGTGGGGAACCAGAACCTGGACAACCTGCGGGGTTTCGTCCTGGCACCTTTGGTGATTTATTTATTCATTGGCACCATGTTCCTCCTGGCAGGATTTGTGTCCCTGTTCAGGATCCGCAGCGTCATTAAGCAGGGTGGAACCAAAACAGACAAGCTGGAGAAGCTGATGATCAGAATAGGCATCTTCACGGTGCTCTACACGGTGCCGGCCACCATCATCGTGGCCTGTTACTTTTACGAGCAGCACAACAGGCAGACGTGGGAGATTACGCACACTTGCTCCAACTGTTTGCTGGAGCACGAGCGCAGGACTCCGGACTATGCAGTTTTCATGTTGAAGTACTTTATGTGCCTTCTGGTGGGCATCACTTCCGGTGTGTGGATCTGGTCGGGTAAAACCCTGGACTCCTGGAGGACTTTCTGCACCAGGTGCTGCTGGGGCAGCAAGGGCACCAGCGGCTCCATGTACAGTGACGTGAGCACCGGACTGACGTGGAGGTCAGGCACGGCCAGCTCTGTGTCCTGCCCCAAGCAAATGCCATTGTCCCAGGTTTGAATGGGAAAAACTAAGCAGCTTTAGGAGGACTGCTAATTGTTTGGGAGATAACCCATCACTTCATGTCTTAACCAATTTGCATAGTAATGAACTGCTGCTGAGGTGTCCCCCAAACACACACACACACACACACTCACACACCTCTGTGAGAAGAAGTGGTCAAAACAATGTTCCTGGCATCCACTAAACGAAATCTTCCCTGTTTGTATGTATCAGTGGTTCCAGGTGGTGTCTTTTTTAATGCAAACTGGGCATTACTTGTTGTAAAACACAGTTTCTCACCAAGAGCATTTTTTTTAAATGTCCATCTTATATATAGTGCCAGATAACATTGTATATTTCAATCAAGTTTTAAATTAAGCCTTAATAGTGGCCGTGTATTTTTACGGGTCACTCGTTTTTGTAATTTCAGATGTATTTATACAAAGGTTATGTACAAAAAAAATGTATATTTGTGTATAAAAAAAGAACAAAAAACTTTATAAGCTATTGTATATTTGTACAAAGTGTAGATTTCTCTTTTTTTGGAGAGAAAGACAAATACCACCTTTATTTTGACAATAAAACCTGTGATAAATCCGAGGTTCTGTGTAACTTTTCTGGTGTGTTCTCCTGCCGCGGAGGCTCCTTCCGTTTCCTCGCGGGCGTATATATCTTTGTGGTTCCTTGTGGTCACCGTATTGAGGGACAGCGGCGGCGGCAATGGCCCGCTTTTGAGGGGAAGCCCTTTTAACCATTACCCAGCTAGTAATTAGAGGCAGGGGTTGAGTCGGTGCATCTCCATAATTGTTCAAGTCCCCTTCACATGCCTGCTGAAGCCCGCTTTCTTCATTTAGTAGAAGAGGCAGAGGGTGAATGGAGGGGGTGTAAATGCAGGGAAGGGTTCCCTTCATCTACAGAAACTTTGATCTTTCTTTTTTTTAACCAGCTTAGAATAAAGATGGTGTGTATTATGGTGTCTGTCTGATGTGCCAAGGTTTCCCCTAAACGTCCCCATTTGGACTCTTTGATGGACGTCCCACAATTGAAAGAGCATTTTGGAACCCTCCCTTCTCTCACTCTCTCTTTTTTCAGGGGGTTGGGGGGGGGGGGGGGGGTTGTCAGAGCTGAAACCTGCCAGAGCCCCTGCGTCTTGTTTGTGTTTTTTTTTTTTTTTTTTCCAATCCAGGACCTGAATTGAAACATCTCCCTCAACTCAAGCTGTGTCAGTAAGTGCAGGGAACTTGACATGAATGATATTGAAATAGCATTGAAAGCCCCACAGGTGGTCTGTTCACATGATCTCACATCTTAGGAGCCTCTAATCGGGGCCATTTTTGTTGCTACAAATGTATCTGGTTTGGTCCCAATTAACCCAGTTCGCTGGCATTAGATGATAGTGTAGTAATGCCTTTGATTTACCGGTCAATAGTCGCAATGGCCTTTGTACTGTCTGTCTGCTCTGTTGACGCTTTGTTCTTGTACTACAGATGTGAAACACCAAAGAGTTGTGCTGTTTAATGGTGGAATTCAGCCACATAATAACCGCGCCACGCTGTTGTCAGTGAACGCAGCATCGCCTGAGCTATTTCCCAAGTATTTCAGCTAATATTTATACACCTCGAAGCGAACAGACTCACCACAGTTTGTCGTATAATTGCTGGAAATCGAGTTTTAACCTCGACCATGACACGCATTTCCATTAAGAATTGTCTGAATTCTCTACTTCTACAGTTTGACAAAGTTGTTTTCATATTGTACCACCAGCTCCTCATAAACGATGACATTAATGCTTAGCCCCATCTGGCGGTGAAATGAGCATCACGCACGTACACGCCACGACAGGAGTTATTTTTGGCTTTAAAACCCGAACACTGATGTCATATTTTTCTCTTTCTGTGTGTTCCCTGGGCTCATTTCTCATTCTGAAGCGGGGGTTGGGGGACTCATACAGGGCAGATGTTTGGAAAATGTACACAGTCATAAGCGTTTATTAACCAGTTTTTACCGGTGTTGCCACAACAAGAAGTGTTTTGGGAGTTTTTTATGCGAGAATTGCATATTTGAATTTAAAGAAACCAAATTTCAAACTAGAAAACACACTGTTACTGCAAAAGTGACAGATAAAAGAAACCAGCGGGTCATTTAAAATGTTAAAATATGTTATGTGTTTACCTAGGTCAACTAACTTTATTTACACACATTTATTTATATGTAAACAGAATACAAACATTCAGCAGTCCTGGCTTTCCTTAAGCCGGTGTTTCTCAACCTATGGTAGGCATACCACTGGTGCTACTTGGGCTCCCTCTGGTGGTACATAAGGGAATATGATATGATTTTGGTATATGAGTTTGTAAGGTACATTCTTTATTAAATCAATCAAATAAAAATAGTTAGAATGCCTCCAAGCAAAAGGAGCATTGAAGAACTAGGAGTAAACAAATACAATATGTTTTGTAACTGTGTGTTTTAGTACCAAATGTTCTATTTGGCAATTACCAAGGAACAACATGTTTACAAGTAACAAGGTGCTGCACAGAGAAGTATGTGAGTAAAGGGGCGGTTCCCGCAGACAGACAGACAGGACAGAGCAGCAACAATGGTGGGAATTAACTGACTTTATTATGGTTTCGTTTACGAGGGATTATTTGGCGGATGAAGCCGATCTTGTCGGGACTCGTTCTCAGCTGTGGCTCGGAGCAACGACTGATGATGTCTGTGTGTAACCCCGGCTGAACCGTGTCACCGCGTTTCACCGAACAGGATTTCCCCGACCTGGATTAAAACATCTTCTCTCCTCACGTAGCCTCCTGATATCACCGCCTATCAATTATTAAGGGAGAGAGTATGTGTGTGTGTGTGTGTGTGTGTAGGTTTACATTTTTTATATATTATTGATCTGCTCCACTACGGTGAAACGTGTGTTTCATACATGTGTTGTTACATATTTCATTTCATGCAAGAGTCTTTTAGTCAGCTATCTCTGGAGACATTGTACGAAGCACGATTATATGCGAGAACGCAAGTTATTTTCTTCGTCTATGCCATGTGTTTCCCAAACTGGGGACCCATATTTTAAAAGTCACAAACCTTCGCGACCCAAGTCAATAGACCCTATTCGTAAACTCACGATGCAAAACGACCCAAAAAAAATCTCTTGCGACCCACCTGAGGGTCGCGACCCAGCATTTGGGAAACAATGATCTAAGTGAACAAGATTCTTGTTCACAAGTATTTTTTTTCTAATTTTCAAGTCAATTGAATTACATGTTCTGCACATGTGAACACTTTAACCTAGCTAAAAACTAGGTTAAACAGACCTGACCAAATGCAGGTGATTGTGGTAGAACATATTTTTTATTCGGATCACATTTGCTGGAGTAAATTGAAATGTTAGCACTAAAAAAAAACCCTGGCTGTTCCGTGCTTTAAATTCTCCAGTGCACAAAGTATAACAGCGACCTTTGGTCTCAGTGTCCCGTTTAGATTAATGGTAAAGCACCTGACCTCCAGCTCTGGCACTTAATTCCCTGCTGGCCACTTGAGACGCCAGATGTTGGAAAATATAGGAGCTGTGCAGTTCTGGGGCCGGATGGTTACTGTGTCCCTGGGAAGATAACGTCACTGAAACTGTAGCGACTGCCTTTGTACATTAGAAAAATAAAATCGTGGAAGAAAAGATCAACAGTTCCGTGTTTCCTGCACATGTGTTCTTAAATGGTAAAAACAGAAGTTATGTCACGTTTGCATTTTTCAGCAAATAAATGCTTCAAACTGGCACCGTGACCGAGCCTAACAAAGCCATCAGCAGCGGTGGCTGGCCCCCCCACCAGCACAGTAACAATGCCTCCGTGGTGCAGTCGTTCTTACACTCCCCTCCTGCTGCCCACGCCGGTTCAAGGACCCCCACCTCCACACAAAACCCTAAGTTTTCCGCTGAAACACCAGGTTTTTTTTTTCGATTTCTTTTCTCTCTTTGTTTGCCAGAAGTAATACATTCTGAGAACAAAGGCAGCGCAAAGTGTGTGAGTCAAGAGTGGAGTGTAACCTGTTTGTTAGCTGAAAAACGGCCAACGTCTCCCTGAAAATGATGGAAAGCCACGATCACTCTGCAGGATCTAAAAGAAGAGGCGTCAAACTCCAGGCTCGTGGCCCACTTTCTGTACACAACTAGTCAGTATAATGAAAATCTGACTCCATGCTGTTAGATTCTGGCCCCTACCTTGAGAAAAGTGGCCCCTGGATCATCTGAGTTTGAGACTCCTGATCTAAAGCAGAGGTCACCGACCTTGGCCCGAGAACCTTGGGCCAGTACCAGTCTGGGGACCAGGGATTGGAGCCCCCTCTAATCTTAAAGGATTTCCATTTAAAATAAATAACTCTACTACATGCAATACATGCCTTTTGCCACCAGAGGAGCTCATAGACCCTTTTTTCACACAGACAAAAATGCAGCAAAGTCTCAAACTTTATGGATTCTAATGGTGTTTTCCTGAGCTGGATGTTTATTTGTAAAGGTTTTGGGAGACACACAGTCAGTACTGTAAGTCAGGAAACATTTTAAACAGACAAACAAATGAACACAGTCAGTACTGTAAGTCAGGAAACACTTTAAACAGACAAACAAATGAACGTGACGTTCAGGGTCTCATATACCTGCAGAAAAACAGCATTAAAGCTTCTGGCCGGACCAACTTTCTTTGCTGACTCCGGAAGTTTTCAGGGTTGAATTCATGAGGGATTTTCCCCTGTCCCTCTTCATTCAGCACCGAGTTCAGGTTGGGATAATTAATGTACCCTGTGGGGGGAAATGGGACAGCAGTATGAGCAGAGGAAGAGAAAGACAGCTGCTGTTTCCCCAAAAACTTTCCAACAAAGCTCAGCACAGCATCAGAAAGCTCCCGTATAATAACGTGGCTTTAAGTTGCATCTCACCCTGGGTGGGGAATATCCCATGAGCTCACTGTCTTTTGTTGTACAGTGGCAGACAATCACAGGGACAGCGTTGTCTTTCCTCAGTCTCGGGACTTTGTGAATTACAGCCCGCATTCGTAAATAGTAATAGTGTGGTTCAGCTCGACCTTGGTCACTGTTGTACAATAATGATCATCTGGTTCATGGTTAAGCCCCCTCCTGGAACAGAGAGATCAATGACATCAGGTGATTGAGAATAGTTTTTAATTGTGACTAATCCAGATGGATGGATTATTAATATTTATATGGGGAAACGTATAAGAGGTGGATTATTAATATTTATATGGGGAAACATTTAAAAGAGAATTTAGTTGGTGGACCTTAGTCATTACTGGGCACCTTGAGACACTTTCAAGACTGTGGTGTGGTCTACAGACTACGTGACGGTCCACTTGGCTACTGTGTGAGTCAGATTGTCCATAGTCACAGACTGCCCTCAGCGAAGCTGCTCTGAAACAACCTGATGTTAAAACCTCTTCAAACACATGCTAGGCATCGATATGGTATTTTATGCTTCAGTGAAAGGAAAACTTTTTTTTCCCCACAATGTGTGCAAATAACAACATGTGTAGAAAACTTGGAAAGGTAGTGCTTCGAAGTGAATGACTGAGGTTTTGTGCTGAACCATCACTTTGATGAAGAACTCCTTTTGTCCACTTCACCAAACCAAGCCTGGCAGACGACATGGAAGGCCGCCTCGTAAAACACAGCTCCACCGACAGGAGGGGGTGAGTGCGGCCAAACACGTTTCAACACATAATTAAATGTGTTAATGCTGCTCCACGTATAAAGTGCTGCAGCAGATGCTTCACCAACTGCTTTTCTCCAGGATCTCCACTGTGATTTGTTTCTGTCCAAGAATCCTCTTCTCCACAGACTGTTTTCCCAGACGGAGATTCCTCAGAGTCATCGGCGCAGAGCGGTGATGCTGCCTCCACACAGGGCCGTAATCTGTCAGATCCATTCCTACGGCCAGACGCAGACATGAAGTGCACCATTCTGGGGTAAAAACGTTTAAAGTGATCTAAACACCTGATCTGTCCTGACTTTTTGCGGACAAGCTCTGTGGCAAACAACGTGGCTCGGGGTCGTCCAGCAGGATCTACATTCTTGGTGATCACTGGCTGCTTTATGACCTGCAGCCCATGAATGACGACTGCTGGTTTGGGACCGGGCTGCAGATGTTACCATAGCACTTTCCAAACTCGGAGACAGTGTTTGTAATGAACCATTTGCAAATGCTGCGTAAAACTGCTGTACTCTGTCTTCACAAATATGGTTTCTTTTAACAAGCTATTGAAAAGTTCCAGTGCTTTATAAGGATTTTTTTATTTATTTTATTTTATTTTTTAGCTGTGACACTGTGGCTAACTGTGTAGGATTTAAAGACATACAATGTGGCTAACTGTGTAGGATTTAAAGACAGAAAGTTAGGATTTATTGACACATTTTTTAAAGAAAACATTTGATGTAATACTTGCAGTTTAAACAGTCATATTTTTACCACTATTCAAGAAAAAAAACTTTATTTTTTTAATTATTAATAAATGCAGTTCAATGTTTTTAAAATATCCACAACACTGGAACCTTAATGTTCTAAAGGAGCCGGGAATACTCGCTACAGTTTTCAAGTTTAATTCCACACGGTCGCGCGTCAGATTTTGCACCACAAGAGGGTAGCATTGTATCATCTTACCATTGCGCAAAAGACTGGACCTGCGGAGCTAGAACAGTCTCAAAAAGAAGAAATACACAAACAATTGTCTAACGTGCATTTATAACGTGCTTTGAATTTGTAAATCTCCCTGCATTTGCAGGATATAATAGCAAGATTCAGAAAAAAAACGTCACACTCTTGAGGAACAGAGGAGAGTCTTGGAGAGTTTGATTGTGGCAATAATCATAATAAACAAGGATTTTAATTCATATTGAAATTACAGAAATTACAATTATTCAAAACAATTATTGGCTGGTTTGAGAATTGTCTGCTATTAAACTTTAAACTTTATTGAACATAAAAAGTAACAAAAATAAATTAAAATAAAGTGACAAAATATGAATAATTATTATTATTGCCAACATTGTTCCTGAAATGACTGTTCCATGTTCTTCTGTGCGTTATCGGTTGGTGACCTAGTTTTTGCCGGTTTTGGTCAGTTTTGACGTGTGCACCATCCAACAACAGCAAGTGACTTGACTGCAAGTTTTGATTGATAGCTAAATGGGCAAATAAACATTTGGTTTTAGAAGGGGGCGGGACAAGTGTGCATTTTGATTGGATTAAAATGAAAGCCTTTTTGACAACTTTTGGAGCGACCAATTAGGTTTATGTAGGTACATGTACATGAACACATTGCTGTGCAATGCAATCTAATCTAATATCTAATCTAATCTAATCTAATCTGATCTGATCTGATCTGATCTAATTTAATCCTATCTAATCCTGTCCATTGTTATCCCACCCAGCCCAATGCAATTAATTGTTTGTAAAATTCTGGCATTAGTAGAATTATTATTAAAAGTCACTTTTTTCAGCCTGTCACAGAAATCCTGAAGGTCAAGAGAAAACAGTGCTTTGATTTTGATTTTTATTGTTTGGGTTTGGGTACAGTGTGTTACAGTGTACACCCGTTCCTAATCTCCACGAGGCCCTGAAATAGAGCGACAAGCTGCCTCCATAAATACAGAGGCCGTATATGAGAACATAATTGCTTTGTGAGCATATGTCGGCTTTAGGGGACTTCAGAGTGTCCTTCACTTCTCACAGCGGAATCCTATTCTTTTCTAAGAGCACGGCTACAGCCCCTTAGTCAGATTATCTTCTCTCATTTCAACCTGACCTCCTCATTCCCAAAGGTCGTCCAAACACAGGACCCGGAGGCTGCCTGCATCCTCCGTGACCCCGTGACCGAGGCCCACCAAAGAGGATGCCTTTGTTTGTGGGTGAAAAACAGGTCAAGGTCTGCCTTTGTTGATATACTGTCAGTCACTGGAGGTGTGTGTGTGAGAGGGGGGGGGGGGGCAGCGGGCGACAAAAGAGAAACAGGTGGACTGGACTCCTTTGGATTTCTCAAGGCTGAGGTCAGGACAGAGAGACACTGTCATCTCTGACCTGGTTTGTGAAGACATGACTTTTCATTCTCGTCACTTTGCGTCACTGAGCTAGAAAATGAAGACTTTTGAGGAAGCAGTGAGTCAGACCAGTCACGGACGTTCTATTAGACGATCCTGTCTGGATTCTCTTCCAGTGACAGGTCACCGGTCTGTGTTCTGAAGTGTTGTGTGGCAAAGACTTTTTCACTGGTGTCCAAGTCAGTATCAGTGTTTTTCAACCTTGGGGTCACGGCCTAATGTAGGGGTCGCCTGAAATGTCTAGTCATTTTTTTTAATTTTTTTTTAATTATGATTAAAAACAACTCAATCTTGAACAACTGTATTCTTTCACTTGTATGAATAAAAAAAAATCAAATTAATTGCAACACATAAAAATATCTAAGCTGATCACATGACTAAAAAAATAATTCTCTGTGGTTGCCAGATATTTGTGATGTCAAAATGGGAGCACTCGATTTTAAAAAACGTGGAAAAGAATCCAGGAGCCCTTCTCCCTTGTTCTGATCAAATGTTTTTGAAAATTACGTTCTGATCAGCCACAATTCCACTCATATCCCAACATATTTGACAGGCAAAAATCTCCTGCTAAGAAATCAATTTTCCTCCCCAGAGCGAGCCTTAAAAAACACCACCAGTGCAACTGTAAACTTCAGGTCATTCCACTGCGTCACTGTTCCAGTGGAACTAAACGTCAAACCCACTCGGATTTTTTCTCCTGTCCGTCGTCGTTGTTGTGCGACTCTTTACCACCGCCCAGCTCGACCAGCGTGTACTGACCCGCTTTCCTCGTACAGGTCGCTGTCGTGGGGACATCCCCACTTAGGCCTGTGGTCGACCCGAGGTCTCGTCTGGGCGGAGGAGGTGGTTTGAGTCGACTGCGTTTGTTAACGCGGATGGATCTGGGCGTTCCCATCGGCTCCGGCGGACAGAGTGCCGCCTCGCTGCTGGATCTTTCCGGAGCCTCCTCCAAGGTGAGAGAATAACCGTTGTTTCCATTGGTGTTGCAACCCAGAGGCTCTGAAGAGTGAGAAACAGAGCGCACCAGGCAAGGTTGTTCCTGAGTTGAAGAGAGCCCTCCTCCTCTTCCTCCTGCTTCTCCTCCTCCTCCACTCCCTCGCCTCTTCCGGAAACTGGCAGTTCGACCAGCTCCTCCTTGTCCATCCTGCTGGGCCACAGAGGTCTCCGTTCCCTTTAAAGCATCCTCGCCCAAGTGGGAACAACACTCCTCCTCGTATCTTTTCTCAGCCCTCGTCTTCTTGTTCTTCTTCTTCTGCCGCACCGAGCGATTGATAGCGCTGACGAAATCTAGCACGTCTAGAAGTAAGGACAGAGCGGCCACTCCGAGCATGAAGTTGAGCATGGCAGTCTTCTCCGTGGGTCTGGAGATGTAACAGTCCACCTGGGTCGTACAGGGCGGGTGCTGGCACAGGAACCTCTTGGGAACGTAGAATCCAAACAGGTAGTAGTGAGCCGCTCCGAACCCGGCCTCCAGTAAAGTTCTGAACATCAGCTGGAGGACGTACGCTCCCATGAAACGTGTTCTGTTCACAGACGTCGGATGCTGAATTTTGAACAGGGGCACGGCTCTGACGTGGCCGAATGGGCTCGGTTCCAAACTGAGGCTGTCGGACACTTTGTGGACCACGTAGACGACGAAGATGAAGTAAGGGATGCACAGGACGGTCAGCTGCACCAGCCAGAAACGGAAAACGGAGATGGGTGAGAATAGGTCATAGCAGACGTTGGCACAGCCGGGTTGAATGGTGTTGCAGACGAAGCGCTCCTGCTCGTCCTGGTACAGAGGGTAACCGGCGAACAGCAGCATCAGGAGACGGAGGAAAACCATCACAACGAGCCACACCTTCCCTGAACGCAAGGATCATTTTACGATATCAACATGTTGTCAGAAAAACACAAACAAATGTTTGTCTCCGTGGTCAACATACCCATCAGAGTGATGCTGTGATTGACAGAAATGAAGATGATCTCAGAGGCACTCGCTCCGGCCATGGTCACTGAATTATCTGGGCGTCCCGTCCTCGGACCCTCGTGGTCCAGCCTCTCGTCTACTTCCTCGCTCCTCCTGTCATATCTGTTCTGGTCACAGTCACAGTGGTTCCCAGTAGAAACTAACCTGAAGGTACTACGTCCACTGAGACTGTGTGGACGGTTTAACCTCTTCCTCCGTCCCCGGCAGACAACTGTCTTTCCTCAGACAACGAAGACAGGAGCGAGCCCATTGTGGGTCTATTCTTAACGCACTTCCAAAAGCATGTCACCGTCCTGGCATTGCAGAGATATTTTGGTGCTGCTGGTGGCTGCAGGGGAGGAACCAGCCTCCAGACTCACTCACTCTTCAAACTCTTGTATTAAAGTCTCAAGCACAATAGCAAGGCGTGTTCAGACCGGCCACGCCATAAAAATAAAGGCATTCGTTGTAGCAGGTGGACACACGGAGGACGTTGAGTCGTCCAGTGGCGTGTTAGATGAATTTACCCAGAAGGAAATAAATAAATCATCAGGAATTAAAGCGTTGTTAAATGCAATGGTTTCCAAAGTGTGGGGCGCTGCACCGTCATGGTCACAATAGCAAGATTTGTTTTAGTTGTAATTAGTTTAGTGGAGATCTGATAATAGAGCCACACATGTGTTGGTGGTGGGGGCGTTGGGGGAGAGGCAGAGGGGGCTGCAGGAAATGTTTGGGTGCCAGTAGTTTGATTGGTTGTTTTGAATATAAAGCAGTTATTTACATGTGTTGTTTCACAATGAATCCCTCGAATTAGACTTTTTTTAAAAGCATGTTTTTTTTTTACCTATTTTGTTGGTTCTTTTACCTCATAACACAACCTATAAAAATGAAAAAAAGAAAGAAAAAAAACCTAAGCATGGGTTTCCCAAAGCGCTACTAGGGGGATTTCTCTTTAGTGTGATTATTCCAAACGTATAAATAAATTAATTTTAATGGTAAATATATATATATATGTGTGTGTGTGTGTGTGTGTGTTATATTTGTTCTGATCATTTTTTCCCCCACATGTGTGGAGAATGTGAGGTCTGTCTGTCTCCCTTCTCTCCTGTCTCTGTCTGTGGACTTAATCAGTGTCATCACATTCACCTGTGTCTCTGTCGTTAGTCTCACTGGTGTCACCTGGTGCCCTGGGTTTATATACCTCCTTCCTGCCACTCACTCTTTGTTGTCATGTTGTTCTATGTGCTGTGATGTGATGTAATGTGCTGTGATGTGATGTGATGAACTTTGTACCCTTAATGAAACCCATTGCACCTGATCTCAGTCTCTTCGGTGCTGCATTTGGGTCGTGCCTGCTGCCACGAACAACTAAGCAGTTGTCCAGACTCATGATCACAACAGACCGGTGGTCATTAGCACTTCCGCACAGGATCACAGCGCAAACCCAACTGGCACGTTACACACGAGCGGCCACGAGCGAGCTGAGGCCGGGAATGTAAATGATTCTATTTAAAATTCCCAAAGAGGGTGATATAAAGATAGATATGGAAGCACCTCACTGGCAGGAGCAGGAGTGATTCCAACACAGCCTTGTGGTGTTAGTCATGTTAATTGGTGCTATTGTTGGGGAGAGGGAAGCCTTTTATTACAGAAGCTGCAGTGAGGAGTGAAGCTGAATCAAAGGGCCTAAAAATAAAACCCGCTGCCTCCCAGCAGGCTGTGAGAGCAACTGCAGCCACGTCGTTCACAGTTAACCAGTCTGAACTGAACTGGAACAGACGGTCTGCTTAAAGTACAGTGGAGTTCTGACATCACCTGGGGTTTTTTTTTTCAATGACAGAGCCATATTTATTATTGAGCCCAAAACACAGAAATCAGAAATTAAAGCTACATCCTCCTGCTTTTTCTCTTTTCTTTTTTTGACCCATAACTGTGGCTGGATAAATGTGTCAGTCCTGTCACTCATTTATCACATCCTTCTGATATATCTCAATTACCCGCCTGACCTGCTTCAGCTTCTGGGCAGATTTTGCACCTCGGTAATTACCCGGCAGCCACCTGGATCATTCGGGCATTCCCGGTGGCATAATTATAAAGATATGAGCTTAATAATGTCTCTGTCATAGCTGAAAGTACGTAGTCACTGGTACCGATTCTACCACAGTCGTCGTCTCATTATAAGTCAAGCTGGTTAGAGGACTTTTGCTTTTAACCTTTAAAGGGTCACAGCAACGTGTGAAGCCAAAAAAATGTGTGAACAATCAGGTACGGAAACTCCACGTGCTCATGGTTAGAACTTTACACACACAGAGGAAAAAACCACCAATCGATGCTAATTAAAAACCAGTGACACATTTACTGAGGGTAGGATAAAAAACACACACACTATTAAAACGGTCATTAAGTGCAGCGATAGAAAAGATGTCGAACGAGTTACTTTGGCAGAGCGGCGACTGTCACGGAAATAGCACTGAGGATTGAACGTCCCTTTGTGACAAATTGCTAAGTGTAATCTCTTTCTCACCACTCAGGCTGACATACAGTCAAACAGTTTTGGCTGGAGGCAGAAATCCAGCCGAGTCACATATCAAACACACCTGAATGTTATGAGAAGCGCTAGCTGCGAGAACAGGCATCTGATAATGTGTTAACACTCCTCACAGACAAAAAAGAAAAGCTACCGTATTTTCTGGACTATAAGCCGCACCAGCCAAAAAACTAGATGTCCTCTTTGAGCTTGAGAGACGTTTTGTTCCTCAACTGAGGAACTTATATATTTTAATATATAAGTCGCACCTGAGTATAAGTCGCGAACCCAGCCAAAGAATGAAAAAAAAATAGTGTAAAAAACAGACGATTGAGGTCATGAATAAATTTAAAAACTTTTAAGAAAAGGTTGTGGTTTTAATGAAGTGATGGGTTTTTTTTTATTGACGCAGCACATGTTAACTGTTACACATTCCTTTAAAAAATCGTTTTTTATTAAACAAACAATATTAAATTACATTTACAACTTCTCTCAAAACCCCAGTAAAACATTTTATAAGTTTCAAGGCTCTATACAGAACAAGTATTACTGTCCTTTATGGAAAAAAACAAAAACAAAAAAACAAGCAAACAAACATAAACCTAGAAAAGTGTGGGTATGTTTTAAATAAAAAATAAAATTAAATAAACCTGACTTGTCTTGATTTATCACTTCAGCAAACACAGCATTTAACACGTAAAAGCATTAATTTCTGCAGTAAAAAAAAAAGAAAAACAAAACATAAAAAACCGACAAAAAAAATCTCGAGTGGTGTCTCCCGTTTAAGACGTCAACATTTTTCTTCACTGCCTCTTGTCATTTACAGTAGAAACTGTTCCAGTATAAATACTCTAACATCGTTCTAATTCTTGGGTACAAGTATGTGAACTTTTTTTTTTTTTTTTATCTTTTCAGTGCGGCTTAGGTTTACAGATTAGTCCACAGGTGCTGTGTTTTCACTGCACTAAAACAATTCAGCAATAAATATATATATATATATATTTTACAATCTTTGTTTTTGTGTCTACAGTGTCACTTTTTACCTGTTTGGGTTTTTTTTTTTTTTCCTGAAGAGTATAAACGAAAACAAGACTGAAGGTTTATTCCCGTCGTGGCTTTTACATGTCAGAATATTGCGTTTGTGCTGTTGGTGAGCTGGAAGAACAATTCAAAATGAAGTGAGGAAATGATCGTAATAATATTTTATAAAATTGGTTATTTGTTCATTTACGAAAAGTGGAAAAGTGTTAGACGAGGCTGATTACAGGCACCACAGGTCGGGACAACGGCAGTGAAATAAGAAGAGAAGCTCTACAGTGTCTCAGAGAAGCGGAGCCAGGTCTTCCAGTCAGACTCTCTCCCGAGTGTATTTGATCATAACATCCAGGTGATGCATGAATATTGCTTTAGGCTGTAACTAAATGTTGGCGGAGTGACCTTGAGAATAAACCGTTCTGTGAATAAATCTGATCAAGAGCGTCTCCAAAAAAACAAAACAAAAAACATCTTCTCACTGTTGACATTCTGCATGACAACAGTTGAGGGATGTTTCGTCACGGTGGACATGTGGTTAAATGGAATGTTTGTTTTTTTCGTTGTTCACGTTTCTCCTTCCTATTTTGTTTTCTAATGGGAATGAATAAATGAACAGAGACAGAAAAACCAAACAGTGAGATAAACCGTAGAAACAACATGAAGGTTTTAGACGTGTCTAAAAGCTGACGATGTCCTGCTTCAAAAGTAGGAATAATAATAATAATAAAAAAAAGTCCATCCCAGTCTTCAGTCAACTATAAAGACCTGCTGAGGTCACCAGTTGAATTTTTATTAACCTAGTTCCCAATTTCTTGCTTTATTTTTTCCTCCAAATTCCATTTGGCCTCTTCTTCTTTTTGCCTTCGCTCGCACGTTTCAGTTCGCTTCAGCTCCACTCCGGTTGGTTCTGTGCACGCAGCCAGTGGGAATCCACTTATGTACAACCACCCAGGAAGGGTGCAACCACACTTGTAGAGGTGCCACACTTTGTTTGTGTGTGTGAGTGTGTTTGTGTGTGCGTGTGTGTGTGTTTACACAGATCCGCAGGATTGCTATCCACCTGGTTTCGCCTGTGTACCAGGCAGTGAGTCAGTCTGACAGGTCTGTGTTTCCTCTGCTGCGTGCCGCCTGAGGCCAGTGTTAGGAAATGATGGCTGGACACCAGCGCACAACCTGCAGGTTGTCGGCACTTACTGACCGCTTCTTGGCCTGTTTCCTCAAGTCCTTATATTTGTCGTCGCACAACCGCGAGATGGCCTGAAACACACAGAAGTACAGATGTTTAAAGATGACCAAAAGGGTTGCTGAGCGTCAGTATGCAACGTACTGACGTAACAAAATGGAGTCGGTGGATTCGTCTGCAGTTTAGTAGTTTAAAACAAAAAAAGGTTTTGTTTTAAATTGGTGTAAGGACGTTTTTGCTTCTGTTGGTCTTTTACTGTCCTTAAATGATCATAAAATTCTAATATAACTCAGCTAGATTTAAAAAAACATTGGCATTAATACAGATCCTTGGGGCACTGCTATACTTTCACAGATGATGTCTTGCACTTGTGCGTTAAGCTTATGCAAACTAATTACCAAGACGCTATTGGTTTCCACATTGCTAGGAAACAACACATCCTCACTGGACTTTTGCATCCTGTTGATTCTTTTCCGTCTCTGTGTGTAAACGTTACCTCCAGTTTTTGGGCTTTGTCCCTGCTGAGGGGTTCCAGAGGGAAGCTCAGGCTGTTGGCCTCAGCCATGGAGCGCAGATCGAAGTAATACTTGGCGTAGACGCTGGATGGCACGTTGATATTGAACTGCAGCAGCTCTAGGAACTGGCGCTCCAGCTCGTTCCTTTTGGAGAGGGGAGAAGACGTGTGAAGACAGAAGCAAGCTCACTGACAAGGTCAGAAGAAAAGTTTGCTTGGAGTGAACCCATTTATTCACTCAGGGTTAGTCAGTCCATTAAATCGACTTCATGTCCACAAATAAATCCTGTGCAGAGAGTAAAGAAGAGACTTAAGGGCATGGACAAACGTGCGCCAGCTAGCTAGCATGCTAGCTTGAGGAGCAGAGCACCTAGGTCTACACAGATTATAACATCATCATGGCGATGTTACAGCTGTCACACATGGTGCATTCATGTACCATTGGAAACTTGAGCGTCTGATGATTACAATTTTTTTTTCTCATCTTTCCTCCTATATCCTGAACCTCCTTAGCGCCCCAGACTTTAAACACCACTGGGCCAGGAAGACAAATAAAACGCTCTTTGAGCTTTATCT